CCAGCACCAGCACCAGGCCAGGTGCACAGTAGGTGCTTGGCAAATGTTTCCTGAATCTTCATGACGGCCCCCGGAGGCCATGACTGTCATACGGGGAAACTGAAGCTCAGGCTGGGAAGAGCCTTCCTGCTCACAGGGCTCAGCCCTCTAAGAGGCAGGGCTGGACTTAAACCCAGGGCCGCGTGGACACCACCACCTCTGCCCCATGCCACCCACAATGAATCTCAGAAAAAGAGGGCAACCTGAGCGAGCACTCATTGCCTGAAACCCCTGAACACCCACTCCAGAGCACCCTCCCACCTGCATCTGGACACCGCATCTGGCTTTGTGCCTGGTAGTCCCAGGTTCGAATCCCAGCCTGGCATCCCCACCTACCACAGCCTCTCTCTCCGAGTGTGCCTTCCACCTGCATCTGGACACCGCATCTGGCTTCGTGCCTGGTAGTCCCAGGTTCGAATCCCAGCCTGGCATCCCCACCTACCACAGCCTCTCTCTCCGAGTGTGGCTGATGAGCCCCAGGGCTAATGCGCTACCCCTGGTGTGGGCTCTGTGCCAGTCAATGTCACCATGGCTGCTACAGCTATCAGTAAATGTCAAGACCAGAGTCCAGGCTCTAGACATCTGAAAGAAGCTAGGTGTGAAGAGGCCATACTTGGAAACTGGGCTCCCCCCTCCCCCTTCCCCAGTCTGTGTCCACATCTACACAACGGAAGGACATTCCCTAAAGAGGGGCCCTGGGTCCTGCTGCAGCCTTCGAGTCTGCCTGGGGGGCAAGCAGTGCCCTCCCTGAGCTGTGCGAAGGCCGAGGAGGACCTGCCCTACTCACTCCACCAGACACTCTACCTGCTGGACTCACCTCCTTCCAGATGTTATAGTGGCTGAGGAAGCAGCCCAACTCTCCCTTGGTGAGGGGCCGCCCATGGTAGGGGTCCTGGTAGCCGGGCAGCATCTGGATGCCCAGTGCCTCCACCTGGCTGGTGTTCATGGCTCTGGGAGGGGGACAGGAAGGGGTCAGTGGACAACCCATGCTGCCGGCTACTCCACCATCGGTTAGTGCCCTCCTGCTGAGCAGCTGCTTCCCTCTTCCACTGCTGGCGCCCCTCCCGGACCTGTGCCAGGTCTGCAGGGGGCGGGCCACCCAAGTGTGGCTCTGCCAGCCGTCCCCTAGGGTCAGACTCACGTCCCCTCCACCATGGCCCCATCAGCACGGTCTACATCCCAGCATGGTCTACAGGGTAGGGCTCAGCTGCCACCCATGGCCCCAGTGCAAGGTCTACACCCCTCCCCAGGGTAGGGCTCAGCTGTCACCAATGGCCCCCAGTGCACGGTCTACACCCCCTGGGACATTCTCTGAGGCTGTGCTACAAGGAGGAAGAGGGGCTGAGAAGGAAGCTGCTCTGGGCTCAGAGGGCTGTGTGGCAGTGGAGGAAGGTGCAAGGATCTGTGAGCAGTCGGGAATGAAGGGGTGCAGTTACGGTCAGGGCCCTGCACACTGCAGGGAGAGGGTGGGGGGGAGGAACCAACCCCTCCCCCCCATATGAGATCCCAAAGAACTGTTCCAGAGATATGCTGAGAACACCTGACCTAGTGCTGGGCTAAGACCCAGGCTCCCCAGCTACTTCCCACACTGGGCCAGCTCTGAGCTACCAAGTCCTGACCACACCTACCCCAGGCCACACCCCCAGCTCCTTGGCCAGCCCACAGACTTCCTGGGCAAATCTTCGCCACCCCACCCGCCACAGGACACCTCCGGTCTCCAAGCCCTGAGGAGGCCTCATCCCCACAGCCAGGGCCCTAGACTTCCAGGTCATCCTCCCACGGTCCCTCCCCACAGGCCCGAGGCCACGCCCCAGCCCTGACTACTCTCAGGTCCGCCCTCACACAGGCCACACACACACACAGCACTCCTGCCATACTTCCAAGAGCTGGCCCAGCTAGTCCCCCACAGATACCTGCAGGCACAGATGCTCTCCTGAGCTCTAGCCCCACCCGGCTCCAGTTCCACCCACTCCAGACAATGCCTGAGCCCTGGCCCCAACCTCAGCCCCAACCCACTCCACACCAGGCCCCAGAGCCCTGGCCCCAGACCACACCTCTGAACTCTGGCCCTACCCCAGGCCCCAAGCCACCCCACCCCATACTTTACCCCTGGGCTCTGGCCATGCCCCAGTTCTGCCTCTGCCCCAGGCCACACCCCCTGGCATGGCCCCACCCCAGGCCCCATACTCACATGAGGTCCCAGTCCAGATCCTCCCTCTCCACATCCCGCATGAGGTTCATCAGGCGCCTCTTGAAGAAGATCTCGAAGCGCAGGTCATCCTCGAAGACCAGCGATTTCTTCAGTCCCTTCTCCACGACCTGAGGGAGAACAGAGCCAGGCCTAACCCTGAAGCCAGCTCAGCTTAAAAGCTCTGGGGCAGCAGGCGGCTCTGGGGCAGCAGGTGAGAAGAAAATGCACCCCTCGCCGCCACTGTCTGGACTGACTTCCCCTCGGGCTACCAATTCCTAGAACATTCAACAACACATGCCCGGGCCTGGCTGTTCCTCCCATTCCAGGGTCTGGGACTGAGCTGATACAGCCCTCTCCCTCATGCAATGGCAGGTAGACTACCTCTCACCCTTTAGGCTTCAGCTCCAATGTCGCCCACCCAGGAGCTCCTTCCCAACCAACACCCAAAGCTGCCAGTTGAGGACAATTCATAGCCCTAGGTCCCTTCTCCAGATGTATCTCACTTATTTCACTCTGATTTGTTTCTTTATGACTTATCATCAGCCCGCCCACTTCCCAGGGCTGTGAGCCCCTTGCAGGAGCTGGGTCTGTCCCGGGGGCTATCATGTCCCAGCACCAGCACCAGGCCAGGTGCACAGTAGGTGCTTGGCAAATGTTTCCTGAATTTTCATGACGGCCCCCGGAGGCCATGACTGTCATATGGGGAAACTGAAGCTCAGGCTGTGAGCCTTCCTCCTCACAGGGCTCAGCCCTCTAAGAGGCAGGGCTGGACTTAAACCCCGGGCCGCGTGGACACCACCACCTCTGCCCCATGCCACCCACAATGAATCTCAGAAAAAGAGGGCAACCTGAGCGAGCACTCATTGCCTGAAACCCCTGAACACCCACTCCAGAGCACCCTCCCACCTGCATCTGGACACCGCATCTGGCTTTGTGCCTGGTAGTCCCAGGTTCGAATCCCAGCCTGGCATCCCCACCTACCACAGCCTCTCTCTCCGAGTGTGGCCGATGAGCCCCAGGGCTAATGCGCTACCCCTGGTGTGGGCTCTGTGCCAGTCAATGTCACCATGGCTGCTACAGCTATCAGTAAATGTCAAGACCAGAGTCCAGGCTCTAGACATCTGAAAGAAGCTAGGTGTGAAGAGGCCATACTTGGAAACTGGGCTCCCCCCTCCCCCTTCCCCAGTCTGTGTCCACATCTACACCCCGTCTCAGTGTCCACATCTACACAACGGAAGGACATTCCCTAAAGAGGGGCCCTGGGTCCTGCTGCAGCCTTCGAGTCTGCCTGGGGGGCAAGCAGTGCCCTCCCTGAGCTGTGCGAAGGCCGAGGAGGACCTGCCCTACTCACTCCACCAGACACTCTACCTGCTGGACTCACCTCCTTCCAGATGTTATAGTGGCTGAGGAAGCAGCCCAACTCTCCCTTGGTGAGGGGCCGCCCATGGTAGGGGTCCTGGTAGCCGGGCAGCATCTGGATGCCCAGTGCCTCCACCTGGCTGGTGTTCATGGCTCTGGGAGGGGGACAGGAAGGGGTCAGTGGACAACCCATGCTGCCGGCTACTCCACCATCGGTTAGTGCCCTCCTGCTGAGCAGCTGCTTCCCTCTTCCACTGCTGGCGCCCCTCCCGGACCTGTGCCAGGTCTGCAGGGGGCGGGCCACCCAAGTGTGGCTCTGCCAGCCGTCCCCTAGGGTCAGACTCACGTCCCCTCCACCATGGCCCCATCAGCACGGTCTACATCCTAGCATGGTCTACAGGGTAGGGCTCAGCTGCCACCCATGGCCCCAGTGCAAGGTCTACACCCCTCCCCAGGGTAGGGCTCAGCTGTCACCAATGGCCCCCAGTGCACGGTCTACACCCCTCCCCAGGGTAGGGCTCAGCTGCCACCATGGCCCCAGTGCACGGTCTACACCCCTGCCCTCAGATTGGACTCACTTGCCGTCCACAGCCTCCACCAGCCGGACCTTGATTTCCTGCGCCCACAGCGCCCAGAGCATGCGTTCCCGCCGGTCCTGCCGCCGCTTCAGGTTGATCATGAAGACCTGTGGCACAGAGCCTGTTGGACTCTCCAGCCCTAAGTTCCCCACCCTTCCCCCTCCCTGCCCCAGAAGGCCTGGCCCACCTCATCGAAGCCCATCTTGTCAGGCATCTTGGTAGGCACCGAGACAAACCGGGAGGGCTCTGCTGGGGGGTGCTTCACTGCGGGGCAGAAAGAAGCCGAGGGGTTGCTTGGGTCATGGGGTGCGGTGGGGGGGAGCATTCCAACCGCTTTCCATTGGGCCCTCGGCATCCCCTCCATGGCTCCATATCAGCCTGAGGTCTGAGCTCTAGCCCCACCCGGCTCCAGTTCCATCCACTCCAGACAATGCCTGAGCCCTGGCCCAAACCTCAGCCCCAACCCACTCCACACCAGGCCCCAGAGGTTGGAGAACTGCCGGACCTGTCCCCAACCATAATCCTGGTGCTAGTCTCTCCCTCACCTCCTACTCACTCTGGCTGTTAGCACACCAACCTCATCCATTCCTACCTCAGGACCTTTGCACATGCTGAGCCTCTGCGTGGAACACCCTTCCTTCCTCCTCCCCCTACCCCAGTTCTCAGCTAAGATGCCATGTTGAGGAGGGGTGAGTCTCCCAATGCCCTCAGGTTGAGTCAGGCACCTCCTCCCGCTCCCCACAGCACCGGGGCTTCCATCATCAAACCTCCACCCTGCTATCCTAACTCGCTGTCTACTGTGAGCCCCGTGAAATGGACACCAAGTCTGTCCACTCACACTGGGTCTCCAGTGCCCAACATAGGGCTCAGCATACAGCAGGCACTCAATAACTGCTCACAGAATGAACCAAGGATGAATGACCTTGACCCACCCGGGCCTCAGATTCCTCATCTATAAAATGGGCTGAAAACACCTCAGAGGTTATTCATGAAATGATGCCATGAAGTCACACTTGCATGGGCTGAATGGCAGGCATCCTCCCGCAAACAGTTAAGTTGGTGTCCAAACCCCCAGGACCCCAGAATATGCTCTTATTTGGAAACAGGGTGTTTACAGAGGTGTTCAAGGTAGAACGAGGTCGTTAGTGTGGGCCCTAATCACTATGACTGGGATCCGAATAAAAATGGAAAATTTGGCCCTAGCTGGTTTGGCTCAATGGATAGAGTGTCGGCCTGCGGACTGAAGGGTCCTGGGTTCGATTCCAGCCAAGGGCACATGCCTGGGTTGCGGGCTTGATCCCCAGTAGGGGACGTGCAAGAGGCAGCCAATCAATGATTCTCTCTCATCATTGATGTTTCTCTCTCTCCCTCTCCCTTCCTCTCTAAAATCAATAAAATATATTTTAAAAAAGATAGTACACTCATATGTAAAACTTTAAAAAAAAAAATGGAAAATTTGACTGGCCGGGTGGCTTAGTTGGTTGGAGCGTCATCCCATACACCAAAAGGCTGTGGGTTTGATTCCCAGTCAGGACATATACAGGAGGCAACTGACCGATATTTTGATGTTTCTCATATCAATGTTTCTCTCTCTCTCTCCCCCCGCTCCCCTCTCTAAAAACCCATAAAAACATATCCTCAGGTGAGGATTTTTTTTTTTAATCGAAAATGTGGACACAGAGACACTTAGAGGGAAGACACAGGAGAAGACGGCCATCTGACCGAGGGGCACGTCTCCAGCCCAAGGTGCGCCCAGAATGTCAGAGCGGTCATGACTGCTCCCCATTGGCTGCTCAGACCACATCCCCACAGCGATCTTGGCATATATATGCCTGTGGTTCCCCCAGAAGGGCCAGACTTTCAGGTACACATGAGCCTACAGATGTCCCTGCCTGCCCCCCAGGCTGCCCAGAAAAGCCCAACTGGATCCCAAGTGTGGTGTCTGCTTCACCAAGAACAAAGGCCCCGTGTGAGCGCAAGGGACAAACACAGGGCCCTCTGTCTGGAAGAGACCTGGACAAGGCCCAGACCTGACCCAGAACCTTCCACCTCACAGCCTGGGCCTCCTCCAAGGCCACCACGCCCCAGGGCTTCCTCCCCCCCGAGTCCCGCAGCTCCTGGGCACCCCACTCTCCTGGGAAGGCTGACACCAAGGGCAAGACTTGGGGATCTTGGGACACAGGCTCCAATCCCAGGTGCCCATCCCTTCTCTGTCTGACCCTCAGCTCAACCCCCTGCTATGGGGGACGGGGGGTGAGTGGTGAGAGAAGTGCCAGTGGGAGGTGGGATCTTGTCACCCTGAGCCTTTCTGCTCTGAAACTTCACTGTAAGAGAGATCTTCGAACACATGAAAAACCCCCGCTCGGCCCAGGTCCGGGTCCCCACACGCGGACGGAGAGGAAACGTGCTTTAACAGAGGAAGGATTTACACACGTATCTGGACCCCCCGGGCCCTCCTTCCATCTGTTCTGTGTGCTCAGCTCTGGCCCTCAAGAAAGAAACAGGAGGGCATTCATGCCTCTGTCACGGCGGAGTCTATAGCAGCAGTGTTAACGGTTTCCTGACCAGAAACAGTAACAGAAATAGAGGTGAAATTTAAATGAGGAAAACGAAGGCAGCCACAGGGATGCTCCAGGGTCCAGTCGCAGGTGGGAGTGGGCGACAAGCAGAGGCCTCTCTCTCGTGACAGTGGCCAGTGGGGCTCCTGGCCTAGGCCTGAGCATCTGCATGTGACAGACACTTGGGTATTGTGCAGGGAGTGTGCCATTCCACCTTCAGCCACCAGGGACACACACACACACACACACACACACACACACACACACACGGAGAACCTTCTAGAAGCAGGTAAGAGTGGGGCAACTGAGACCAGCAGCGGGAGCCTGGACCCCGCCCCCCCCATCTGTGCAGTGGGGGGCGGGGGTGCTGCTCTGCAGGCCTTCTCTGAGATGCGTGGCCAGTGGAGGGCAGAGCCCCCGGAAGTGCCACTGTCCCACTGTCCTCTTGCCCTGGAGACACCCCACGTCCATCAGGAGGCCACTCCTCGAGCGAGACACTGACAATCAGAACTGTTAAAAAGCACCTTATGCCCGGCTGGAGTGGCTCAGTGGTTGGGTGTCAACCTATGAACCTTGATGGCAGCTCAGCCCTGTGTGCTCAACCCATCTTGGGAGCCCACCAGAGGTAGGGCTGCTAGTTTAATAATTTATAGATTTATTTACTGGAAAGACATGAGCTTGCAACCATGGTAAAAACATGTAATTCCCTTTTTAAAATAGATGTATTCAAGTAAAACAAAAGTATACACATAAGATATATATTAAATAATGGGTCTGAGGTTTGGAAATGGTCCAAAAGGCTGTGGCCCAGACACTGCCATGCACATAAAGGTTCATCAGTGAAAACCTTCTGTCCTCCCTGCTCACATACCCTCCATGGCTCCTGACTGCCCCTGAGGAAAACCAGTGCCTAGGGCTGCTGCCCTGGCCCACCAGCTCTACCCTGCTCAGCAGCCCCACTTCTGCCCCGCTGACCTTGCCTCTCCCTGAGCTCGTGTACCCCTAGCCTCCCAGTCTGCAGAATGCTCCCTCTGGCTATAATCCCCTTCTGGCTAACTCTGCAGGCTCACTCTGCCTCTTAATGCCACCTCCTCCTGGAAGCCCACCCTGACTGCCATGCACAGCTGCTGCAAGCCAGTGCTCCCTGAGAGCAGGGACAACTGTCCACCTTGTTCATTCCAGGTTCCCAGCTCCTGGCAAAGGCACTAGCACCCAGCAGGTGCTCAATCAGCGTTCAGGGATGGATGTGTGATGACAGAGAAAGGGCAGTGTGGACGGACTCACCCATAACTTCCAGCTGCACATGCATGAAGCTCTCAGCCTCATCCTGGAGGGTACTATGTGACCGCAGCGGCACTGGCAGGAAGCCATACATCTCCTTGTTGCACACGTACATCTGGACCTCTGGGGCCAAAAACAACAATCAAAACTGAAAATTGAGCAACAAGGTGGCAGTGGCCACCTCTGACCACAGCGTCAGCCTCACAGCCCAGTGTGGGCTGGAAAGTCAAGGAGTCCCGCCCACTTTCCCAGCAACCAGCAGAAACCCCTCAGACCTCCACCTGGGACTTGGAGTCAGAACAGGGGTTCCCGCTGGCAGGCGAGACACTGACAATCAGAACTGTTAAAAAGCACCTTATGCCCGGCTAGTGTGGCTCAGTCGTTGAGTGTCAACCTATGAACCAGGAGGTGAGGGTTCGATTCCCGGTCAGGGCACATACCCAGGTATCAGGTTTGTTTCCCGGTCGGGGCAGGTACAGAAGGCAATTGGTCAATGTTTCTTGTTCACATCAATGTCTCTCTCCCTCTCTCTCTCTCAGCATGTCCTCTGGTGAGGATTAAAAATAAAAAAGATGCACATTTCTTTCTTTTTTTAAAAAATCCTCACCCGAGGATATTTTTCCATTGACTTTGAGAGAGAGTAGAAGAGAGAAGGAAAGACAGAGAGAAATATCGATGTGAGAGAAACACATCGATTGGTTGCCTCCTGCACACTCCCTGACCAGGGCCTGGGCCGGGGAGGATCCTGCAACTGAGGTATGTGCCCTTGATCAGAATCGAACCCAGGACCCTTCGGTCTACAAGCCAATGCTCTATCCACTGAGCCAAACCAGCTAGGGCTGATGCACATTTCTGCACAAAAATGGGATGCAGTTGAATAAAATGTCAGTCAGGTGACCTCCATCTGCATTTGTCCTTTTTTTTTTTTTTCTAAACTTTTTTTTTTAATGTATCTTTATTGCTGAAAGTACTAGAGATGTCCCCTTTTTTACCCCATTTTAGACCCCTTCTAGTCTGCACCTACTCCAAGCCCCAGGCCTTCACCACCTGCATTTGTCCTTTTCTGGATGGTTTAAATTTTTATACTGAGTGTGTATTTTAAAAAGTTAATAAGTCGCCCTAACCAGTTTGGCTCAGTGGATAGAGCGTCAGCCTGTGGACTGAAGAGTCCCAGGTTCGATTCCGGTCAAGGGCATGTACCTTGGTTGCAGGCACATCCCCGGTAGGGGGTGTGAAGGAGGTAGCTGATTGATCTTTCTCTCTCATTGATGTTTCTAACTCTCTATCCTCTCCCTTCCTCTCTGTAAAAAATCAATAAAATATGTATTTTTAAAAAAGTTAGTAAGTCAATGAAAATAATTTTCACTTTAACTGGCTAGCTTTTACATAATGAGGGTAGATGGTAGAGATCTTTTAGGCTGCTGGCCTGACAGTTTCTGTCTTAACAACTCAACCCCACCCTGGAAATGTGGAAGCAGCCGTAGACCACACTTAAATACATGGGTGTGGCAGCGTGCCAGTGCAACTTCCCCTATAGGCACCGAAATCTGAACTTCATGCAGTTTCAGATGTCACAAACTATTACTATTCTCTTCATGTTTTCTTCCAACCGTTTAAAGATATAAAAACCATTCTTAGCTTGTAGCCATACAGAAACAGATGGTGGGTCAGATCTGGCCTGCTGGCCACCGTTTGCTAATAACCCTTGATTCAAAGTAAATGGCGGGTTAGCATACGGCTGTGTTCTTGTTCTCTCTAAAAGGCTTTTTCACTAATTATACAATTAGGGAATCGTTATGTTCAACCACAGGAAATTGGGAGAATGTAAGAAAATATTAAGTTGGAAATAACCTTCCATAAGTAGGTCCCCTTTAGACCTGGGAGGCGAAGACCCTCGGCAAAGCCAGGGCTGGAGAAAGAATGGGTCTGTGGCCACCATCAGAACACCTGGACACACCCCCGCCTGCAGCCACCCGGACCCTGCGTGCGTTGTGGTTCTGTGGACCTTCTGTGGCCTCTGCTGGGACATGTTCAGCTCAGATTCCAGAGAACCAACCAGAACCTTCTGTGGCCTCTGCTGGGACATGTTCAGCTCAGATTCCAGAGAACCAACCAGATGACATCCCCGGGACAGCAACCCTCAGGGCTCACCGGCCTGCTTGCAGGAGAAGGCGAAAACGATGATGTCATCGAAGGCCCAGGTGTAGTCCTCGTGTGGAGGGTAGAACGCCAAGTTCCTGGACGCTGCCTTCCGCAGGTCGATCAGGAAGGTCGAGTGCACCATGGGGACCGCGAAGCAGCCCTGGCGGTCCCGCTTGCGAATGGGGATGTAGGCAGGCGTGCGCTTGTAGTAGCCCTGCGGGGGAGGGGAGGAGTTCTGCATGGGGGTCCCCTGAGGGGAGGAGGCTTCGACCCAGGACAACGAGAGACAGGGAACACCTAGAAAGCGAGGCCCAGGTGCCAACTCCTGCCTAGGGTGGGCCTTCCCTGAGCACCGTGCTCTGGGCGTGGGCAGAGACAGGCTCCGCCCCCAGCGCCTGGGCTAATGGGACAATGGCAGATAAAAGAAAAACGGTTGTCTACTTGCAGACCTGGCCCCACACTTCCGGTCAGAAAGGCAGCCTATGAAGGAGGAAATTTAAAAGCTGAAAAAGGGTTTTTAACATTAAACTGGCCTACAATTAAAGACAAAAATAAAGAGTAACATCCAATGTTGGCAGAATGCTAACTGCTTCAGTCTTTGAGAATTAATATTGTTAAAATTAAAGTACTATGCCTTGTGCCCCAGGAAAACCACTTTGAGATTTATCCCATAGAAATAAAATGTGTACGTTCAGCACCGGCTTTAGCGGGATAAGCCTAGTTCAGTGCCTATCGATGGAACTATGAAATGTTATGTGACTATTTTAAATATGTGTTTGAGGGGGCGGGGATGGGCTGGAGGGGGTTAATGGGGGAAAACGGGGACATATGTAATACTTTCAACAATAAAGATTTTAAAAATGTGTTTGAGCTATGTCTGTTCTGATGGGATGCACATCCGTATTGTTCAACGGAAAAATCAAATTATAGCCCTAACCGGTTTGGCTCAGTGGATAGAGCATCGGCCTGAGGACTCAAGGGTCCCGGGTTCGATTCTGGTCAAGGGCATGTACCTTGGTTGCGGGCACATCCCCGGTGGGAGGTGTGCAGGAGGCAGCTGATCGATGTTTCTCTCTCATCGATGTTTCTAACTCTCTATCCCTCTCCCTTCCTCTCTGTAAAAAATCAATAAAATATATTTAACAACAACAACAAAAAAATCAAATTATAAATTAAAGTATATAATTCAGTTCTTATATGAAGTAAATCCTACATGTGTTTATGTTTCTTGGGACATGAATAAAGATGTGGGAAGACATATTTTTTAAAAGCTGAAAAAGGGACTGGACATTCGACATCCTTTGACTTACATATAAATGGAACGTCAATTTAATCTAGAAGAGGAGTCTTAAAAGCTTCTGGAACAATCCCTGAGTTGCCCTCTCTTTTCCTTGGACCCTTTACAAATTAGAACTATTGGCATATGACATTCAGATTCCTTCTTCTTTTTTAAATCTTTATTGTTGAAAGTATTACTTGTCTGCTTTTCTCCTCCACTGACCCACTCCTCCCTGCTCCCGCCTTCCCCATAACATTTCTATTTCTGACACATTTTTAAAGATGGAAACCACTGAATTATTCACTTTAAAATGGCTTTATGTTTTCTGAACTGCATGTCAGATAAAAACAAAAAGACAGGAGGAGACAGAATAGGTCAGCCTCAGGCTCCAGCCACACAGACCCCCTGACTTCAGCACCCACCCTGCCACTCCCCCCCGCCCCCGCCGACTCAGCCTGAAACCTCAGCCTCAACCCTGGGGTGTAGGGCACAGGCCTGCCAACCAGAGCCTGGCATGTTCTTGGCTTCAGGAACTGGTCCAGGGGTGAGAGGAGAGATGGACAAGGCCAGTCCGAGAGGACTTCAGCGGGAAGCTGCTGGGATCGTTCCCCAGGGTCTGAAAATGAAGCCACCAGGGATGGAGGAAGGCAGGAATGCTGTCTGAACATCTGAATCAAGCTGTGCCGGCTGTCCCATCCAGGCACCACCACTCCCTACTGTGTGGACTGTCTAAGGATGATCACGAAGGTGTGAAACGCTCACCATGAGCTGGTGTGATAATAAGTTCGGCCCCCACTTGCTTGGCCCAGGCCCCAGCCCCCCAAGCCCCCTGCGCTACCCAAGCAGGCGCCTGACCTGAGAAGTCATCCCACACCAGAAATTGGAGTACGCAGCCCGGGAATCCAGCATGGGCGCCACCACCGTCTTGTTCTCGGCGATGAGCAGCGTCAGCGTGTCAGGGTTCAGGATCAGGTTGTCTGCGTCCACAAACTACAAAACATCCAACAGGACATCACTGGGAGCTGCTGGAGTGACCGGGCTGGACCACAGCTCGGGATGATGGGGCAGAGGCAGAGTCCTGGGGTCTGAAGAACCATCCAGTGCCCCAACCCACAGCTCTACCTTAGTAACAAGCCAAGTTACATCCACACAAAGAAACGGGCTACGACGGAAGGGGCAGGAATGGGCCACATGGCGCACAGAAACACAAACGGGTCCCAGGCATGGCGCTGTCGAGATACCAGACATGACAGGGGGCGGGCCATGTGGCTCCATCAGTGGGAACTTTCACAACAGGCAGCGCTGGTCAGTGAAGAGGAGGGGTGGGCCAGAGGCCACCTCTGAGAGGAATACACTTTTTTCTCTGTGAGTTAGATGCCAATAAAAAGTTCATAAAAATAGATACTTTATTTTGCTTTAACACCTTGAATGTTGGGGTAAAAAAATGGTAACTTGTTACAAAGAAAAAAGTTTGGAACAATTAGGTAAGGATGTTTCTGTCAACAATTAAGAGATGGTTTTTAAGAAATGCATCTGGCCCTAGCTGGTTTGGCTCAGTGGACAGAGCGTCAGCCTGCGGACTGAAGGGTCCTGGGTTCAATTCCGGTCAAGGGCACATGCCAGGGTTGCGGGCTCAATCCCCAATGTTGGGGTGTGCAGGAGGCAGTTGATGTACGATTCTCAGTCATCATTGATGTCTCTATCTCTCTCTCTCTCCCTCTTCCTTCCTCTCTAAAATCAATAAAAAAACAAACAAACATGCATCTGGCCAGGCCAGTGTGGCTCAGTGATTGAGCATCGATCTATGAACCAGGAGGTCACTGTTCGATTTCCAGTCAGGGCACATGCCTGGGTTGCGGGCTTGATCCCCAGTAGGGGGCATGCAGGAGGCAGCCAATCAATGATTTTCTCTCATCATTGATCTTTCTATCCCTCTTTCTCCCTTCCTCTCTGAAATCAATAAAAAGATATATTTTTTAAAGATGCATTCTGTTACTCACAGGGGCTTTTTAGAGCATTTGAGTCACTTGAGGTAAACAACAGCAAACACTGGCATTCCAGGCTTCTCTGGCACCACGGAACAGCATGCCGCACAGGACCCTCAGCTGGAGACAGGAGGGGGCAGCCCTGGGACAGGCTGGGCAGGTGTGTATGTTCCCACCCAGCCCCCTGAGGACATTTAAATTCTGACCTCTGGATATATGTGCAGTAAAAGCAGCTGGAACAGTCCAGAAGGTCCTCAAAAAGTTAGGAACATAGTTATCATGTGACCCAGCAAGTCCACCCCTGAGGATAGATCAAGAGAACTGGAAACAGAGACTCCAACAGATACTGAACACCTATGTTCAAAACAGCAGGATTCACAGTTGCCAGGACGTGGAAACAGTGTAAGTGTCCAACAACGGATGAATGGTTCCCTGAGGATAGAGCAAGAGAACTAGAAACAGGGACTCGCACAGATACGTAAACAGCTATGTTCAAAACAGCAGGATTCACAGTTGCCAGGAGGTGGAAACAGTGTAAGTGTCCAACAACGGATGAATGGTAACCAAAACGGGGTCCGGCCACACAATGGAATATCGCTCAGCCGTAAAAAGGACAGAAGCACTTACGCCACAACATGGATGAACCTTGAAAACATCATGCTGAGTGAGAGAAGCCAGACCCTAAAGGCCAAGTGCTGTGTGACTCCATCTACACAAAGTGCCCAGAACTGGCAGGTCCAGAGACAGAAAGCAGACAGTGGCTGCCAGGATGGGAGGGAGGGGAGTGGGGGTGACTGTTCTGGAACTAGACAGGGACGATGGTTGTACAACACTGTGAATGTGCCAGAAACCACTTGATTACATAGTTTAAAAGGCTAATTTTATGTTATGTAAATTGCACTTCAATCTCAGCCTCTCTGAAAGGTAAGATTACGAGGTTTGTTTCCTTCTTTCCTAAACTTATTTTTTCTTCTAGCTTTTTTTACAAGCAACACCGATAGTGTTTGTAAGAAGAGAAGACTCAATTTCAGTCTCTCTGAAAGGTAAGATTACAAGGTTTGTTTCTTTCTTTCCTAAACTCCTTATTTTTTCTTCTAGATTTTCTTACAAGCAACACCGATAGTGTTTGTAAGAAGAGAAGAAAAAAAGAGGCCCTTTTAACAATAATTTTAAAACACTGGACAAGTGACTTCACATCCCAATACGGACTTCCAAAGTCCCCGATTTCAAAAATAACATGGTGTGTCAAAAGCTGCTTTGAGTTTTGAACCAACACCTGGAGTTCTACCCAGGTTTGCTGAGGGGAAAAGTGAAAACCAGTCAACCTCAAACCATGAAAACAAAACAGACGCGACAGCCCCGTGCAGGATGGCGCCAGGCAGGGCCAGACCCACCTCTGTGCCAGCCCAGCCAGTGAAACCTCCCTCTCCAGGCCTCTACTTTCCCATCTGTAAAATGGTCTCAGGAAGTGTCAACCTACAGGGCACCCAGGAGGAGCCCTCCTCTTCCCAGGGGACAGCTCTCTCCTCCCCAAAGGGCTCAGGCCAGGGGCCTGGGATCCTCCTGGCACCCTCACATCTAGTCCCCAAGCAGGGCCTGACCCACCTGCCTTTCTCCACAGCCCCATCCCTCAGGCCTCCACCCCAGCCTCCTGCTGTCCCCACTCCTGGACAGGGGCTCTGAGAATCATAAATTAGAACACAGCCCTCCCCTGCTTACATACCTCCCGTGGCTCCCTACTACCATCAGAGTGAAAACCAAATCTTTCCCTCAACCTGCATAGGCCAGCCCCCACCCACCACCTCGGTATCACCCCCTCCACCGCTCCCTCATCAGGCCATTCCAGCCACACTCGCCTCCTCACAGTCCTTGAACACCCAAAGCTTGCTGCCTGCTGTTCCCTCTGCCTCAGACACTGTCCTCCGGCTTCCCCTAAGGCTGGCTCCGTTGCTCCTTCAGATCTCTGCTGGGGTCCCCTCTTAAGGAAGGCCCCCTAACCCTGCTCACTCATCACCCCACCCTGGCTATGCCATCTGTTGGAGGTTGAATGTTGGGAGTCCTAACTCCTGGTATCTGTGGCTATGGCCTTATTTGGAAATACGGTCTTTGCAGATTTAGTAAAAATGTAAGATGGGGTCGTACTGGACTAGGGTGGGCCCTAAATGCAATGACGGGTGACCTCAGAAGAAGAGAAGAGACACACAGGAGAGAAGTCCATGTGACCACAAAGGCAGAGACTGGAGCGATGCAGCCACAAGCCAAGGATGCCCGAGCCTCCTGGAGCTGGAGGAGGCAGAAAGGATCCTCCCTTGGAGCTTTTTGGGGGAGCACAGCCCTGCTGACACCTGGATTTCAGACTTCCAGCCTCCAGAACTGAGATAATACACTTCCCCGAACACAGTCCCCAGCGTGTGGGACTCTGTCCCAGCAGCCCCAGGACACTGATTCACCACCAAAGGCCTGTCTACAACTTCAAGCACCGCTGCCTTCTGATGGTGCCTCTCTCAGTTTGGTTTTTCCGGTCACATCCACCTTTCCCGGGACACCAGCAAGGTGGGGCTCAGCCTGTGTCCCCAGGGCTCGGCAGGAGGGCACTGGTAGGGGCTCATAAATGTGTGTTGATTGATAAATAAAAAAGGTACAGACTTCAACTCAGGGCCTGGCACATACACAAAACCAGCCAGACTGGCATCACAACATGACCTCCCTGCCATCAACTCCCTCCCCATCTGCACCAGGGGAGGGAATCACGCCCAGGTCAAGGACACAGGAAGGCCCGGGACCTGTGGGCACTTATCCAACGTGATTTCGTGTTGAACACTCAACGTCCCCGCCTTCCCAGAGGCAAAACTGGCCCAGGAGGAGGAAGTGAAAACCAGGATTCGGCAGCTCAGCGTCACCAAGTTCCCCCGTCCCCAACCCGCCTTCCTGCTTCTTGCAGTGACCCGGACAGTGTCACTGAGGGTGTGCGGCGATCTGGTGACCCTTCAGCTGCTCCTTACAACTCATGATGGCGATAAAAGCAGAGACGAACCAAGTGTCCAACCACAGAGGACAGCTGGGGACACATCTGGTGGTTAGGAGCCCAGGGCCCCCTGGTTGAATCCCAAATCCTCCACCTAACCAGCCGATCACCTCTGACAGCTCACACCCCCTCTGGTGCCTCAGTTTCCCCCTCTGTAAACCGGAGTTCAGGAGTCTCCACACTCACTGCTCTGCCTTCCCTTCGGACACCCCAGACGCCTTCTGTGACCCACGGGCCGGGAAACTCACCAAGATGTAATCAGCCCACATGTCCCGGGCAGACTTCAGGGCCGCCTGGCGCAGCTTCATGACGTGCTCGTAGCGCGCGTCGGACCAGTGCTTGGGGCCCTCCTCGTCTTGGTAGGACCTGAGGGGAGGCAGCTGTGATGTGGGGAGGCCCAGGCGCTGCAGAGCCCGACAGGGCCCAGGTGCAGAGCGGCCAGAGGTGGGCTCCTCGCCTGAGGGGACGCTAAGCTGGATCTGTAGGCTGGGAAGAAGCAAGCACGGGGAACACAGGAGGAGGGAGGCATGTCTGCAGCAGGGGGCAGGCTAGTGCCAAGGCCCGGAGGGGAGGACGTCCGGGCAATCCATAGAGAAGGAAGAAAGCTCAGGAGGAGGCAGAGCCACTGGGAGAGAACAGAGAGCAAAAGAAAAGTGGAACCCGTCCTCCCAGACTCAGAATCTGTGAAGCTGTGGGCAGGTCAGAGGTCAGAGGAGTCAGAGGAGCCAGGGCTGGCACTTAAGGCTGCAGAACTGGCTAGAGAGCCAGGGGCGGAGGGGCCAGGGTTCTGAGGCCGGACAATGGGAATCTGTGGAGGGCGTGTGGGCAGGGGTGCAGCTGAGTCCGACGGGGAGGGCTCGCTCAGGGCAGGGCCTGGCACTCACCGGGGCTCCTCTGCCGGCCGCCACTCTACCGAGTGGTACAGATTCTTCACGGCCACCAGCCATTCCCGCAGCACGGCCGTTGTGTTGTCTGAGTTGTGGTCTGTGGCCACCCTGCGGGCGGAGGGGGACAGTCAGGGAGGTTGGGGAGCCCGAACCAGGACAGGGCAGCAGACCCGAACCTGGGCTCCGCACCCTGGCTCAGCCTGCTCTCCGCTACACAGACAGGGCCAGGCGCTTCCCCCCTGTGCCTCAGTCTCCTCATCACACGGGGTGAGGACACCTCACCAGGCTGCAGAGATTAAACAAGCTAATTTAGAAAAACACAGGAGGCACTATTAGTATTACTGCGCATCTAGGACAGCGGTTCTCAACCTGTGGGTCGCGACCCCTTTGGCGGTCGAACAACCCTTTCACAGGGGTCGCCTAAGACCATCCTGCTTATCAGATATTTACATGACGATTCATAGCAGTAGCAACATTACAGTTATGAAGTAGCAACGAAAATAATGTTATGGTTGGGTCACCACATGAGGAACTGTATTTAAAGGGCCAGAAGGTTGAGAACCACTGATCTAGGATCTTATAAGAAGCTTAGGTACTAAATATGTGAGACTTAATAAAAATACAGCTACATCACACAGTCCCATCCACCTTCCTCCAGTCTCTCCTATGAACACCGCCACCTCAACAAACGTTGCTGAAACATCAACCGTGCGCTTGGGTGATCCAGGCAGGGAGTCTGGAGTAGAGAAGAGGGACACCTGGGAACCTAGTTTGACGCGGAGCCCAGAGCTAAGTTGCCGACAAGGACCGCAGTGATAACAGTAACCATCAGGGCAGCGCTGGGTACCCCGTTCCCCTTCCAGGAAGGGGCCAACCCCCGCCCACGCTCCGGTTAGAAGGCCTGATGCCTGCACGAGTGCAAAGATTACAGCTGGGGAGGTGCAATGGGGGCCACAGCCGCGCCCTGGCGGCCCCGGCTCCCCTTCCCGGGAGCCTGCGGGTATTGCAAGGGGTTGAGAGGGTGAGGCAGGGCGGCCTGCCTGGGTGTGGTCCCGGATCTGCCCTCATGGGGCCAGCAGGCAAAGCGAGGGTCTTGCCCATTCGTATGCGGGGCAGGGACGGCGGGGGGGCGGGAGAGCAGGAAAAGGCACGCGTGGTCTGGTGCGCAGATGGGGGACAAGAAGCAGAGAGCACGCGTGGGTCTGGCCCGCCCTGCCCGGGGCCAGGACAGCTGGCGGG